AATAAAATAGAAAAAGAGGAGATTAATGAATTGGGCATACAACTAAAAAAACTAGAAAAAGAACAAATTAAAAATCCTCAACTAAACACCAAATTAGAAATATTGAAAACCAAAGGAAAAATTAATAAAATTGAAATTAAGAAAACTATTGAACTAATAAATAAAACTAAGAGCTGGTTTTATGAGAAAAAAAAACAATAAAATAGATAAGCCTTCGGTTAATTTAATTTTGAAAAAAAGCAAGAAGAAAACCAAATTACTAGTATCAAGAATGAAAAGGGCGAAGCTACCACCAAGGAAGAGGAAATTAAAACAATAATTAGGAATTATTTTGCCCAACTATATGCCAACAAATTTCACAATCTTAGTGAAATGGATACATATTTACAAAAATATAAATTGCCCAGATTAACCGAAGAGGAAGTAAAATACTTAAATAACCCCATCTCAGAAAAAGAAATTGAATAAGCCATTGATGAACTCCCTAGGAAAAAATCTCCAGGGCCAGATGGATTTACATGTGAATTCTATCAAACATTTAAAGAACAATTAATTCCAATACTATATACACTATTTGTGAAAATAGGTGAAGAAGGAGTCTTACAAATTCTTTTTATGATACAAATATGGTGTTGATACCTAAACCAGGAAGAGTCAAAATAGAGAAAGAAAATTATAGACCAATTTCTCTAATGAATATAGATGCAAAAATTTTAAACAAAATACTAGCAAGTAGATTGCAGTAACTTATCACAAGAATAATACAGTATGACCAGGCAGGATTTCTACCAGGAATGCAGGGTTGGTTCAATATTAAGAAAACTATCAGCATCATTGAGCATATCAACAACAAAACCAACAGAAACCACATGATCATCTCAATAGATGCAGAAAAAGCTTTTGATAAAATACAACACCCATTCCTATTAAAACACTAGAAAGCATAGGTATAAATGGAGTCTTCCTTAAAATAATAAATAACATATCTAAAACCTTCAGCAAGCATTATATGTAATGGGGACAGGCTAGAAGCATTTCCAATAAGATCGGGAGTGAAACAAGGATGTCCATTATCACCACTGTTATTCAATATTGTACTGGAAACCTTAGCTTTAGCAATAAGAGAAGAAAAAGAAATTGAAGGCATTAGAATAGGCAAAGAAGAAACAAAGCTATCACTCTTTGCAGATGACATGATGATATACTTAGAGAATCCTAGAGAATCAAGTAAAAAACTACTTGAAATAATAAACAACTTTAGCAAAGTTGCAGGCTATAAAAGAAACCCACATAAATCATCAGCATTTCTATATATTACCAACAAAGCCCAACAGCAAGAGATAGAAAGAGAAATCCCATTTAAACTTACTGTAGACATTATAAAATATTTAGGAGTCTACCCCCAAAAACAAACCCAGGAACTCTATGAACACAATTACAAAACACTTTTCACACAAATAAATTGTATTATAAAGCAGCAATCATCAAAAGTGGTTGGTACTGGCTAAGAAATAGGGAGGTGGATCAGTGGAATAGGTTAAATATGCAAGACACAGTAGTCAATGACTATAGTAATCTATTATTTGATAAACCCAAAGACCCCAGCTTCTGGGATAAGAACCCACTCTTTGAAAAAAACTGCTGGGAAAACTGGAAAAGAGTATGGCAGAAACTAGGCATAGACCCAAATCTCACACCATATACCAAAATAAAGTCAAAATGGGCTCAGGACTGAGACATAAAGGCTGATACCATAAGTAACCTGGGAGAACAAATAATAGTTTACCTATCAGATGTATGGAGAACAGAAGAATTCATGACCAAACAGGAGATAGAGAACATTATGAAAAGCAAAATGGGTCGTTTTGATTACATTAAATTGAAAAGTTGTTGCACAAACAAAGTCAATGCAACTAAGATTAGAAGGAAGGTAGAAAATTGGGAAAGAATTTTTACAACCAGTCTCTCTGATAAAGGCCTCATTTCTAAAACATATAGAGAATTAAGACAACTTTATAAGAATACAAACCATTCACCAATTGATAAATGGTCAAAGGATATGAACAGACAGTTCTCAGATGAAGAAATCAAAGCCATCTACACTCATATGAAAAAAAAATGCTTTATATCGTTATTGACTAGAGAAATGCAAATCAAAACAACTGTGAGGTACCACATCACACCTATCAGATTGGCCAACATGACGAAACAGGAAAATGATAAATGTTGGAGAAGATGTGGGGAAATTGGAACACTAATACGTTGTTGGTGGAGTTGTGAAATGATCCAACCATTTTGGAGAACAATTTGGGCTACAAAAGTGTGCATACCCTTTGATCCAGCAATAGCACTTCTAGGGCTATATCCCAAAGGGATCAAACAAATGGGAAAAGGACCCACATGTACAAAAATATTCATAGCAGCTCTTTTTCTGGTGGCAAAGAACTGGAAATTGAGAGGATGCCCATCAATTGGGGAATGGCTGAGCAAGTTGTGGTATATGAATGTAATGGAATACTATTGTGCTACAAGAAATGATGAGCAGGCTGACTTCAGAAAAACCTGGAAAGACTTACGTGGTCTGATGCTGAGTGAAGTGAGCAGAACCAAGAGGACTTTGTACACAACAACAGCCACGTTATGCAATGACTAATATTGTTAAACTGAACCCTTCTGAGCATTACAAGGATGTAAGACATCTCCAGAGGCCTCGGGATGGAAAATGCTGTCCACATCCAAAGAAAGAACGATGGAAGTCGAATCGCTACCACTTATTTTTACCTTCTTTTGAGTTTTGTTTCATCTTTCTGATGGTTCCTCCTACTGGTTTTAATTTTTACTTACAACTTCACTAATGTGAAAATATGTTTAATGGGTATGTAAATGTAAAGCCTATATCAGATTGTGCGCCGTCTTGGGGAGGGTGGGGGGGAGGAAGGGGGAGAAAAAAATTTTCAACTCAAAAGCATATGGAAGTGATTGTTGATTAATGAAAATAAATTAATAAAAGAAATTGGAATGGGAAAAAAATTGCAGTAGAGTCTGTTTTTAAAATGAACATTTTAATTAAGTGCTTCATAGGGAAGACAAATTTATTAACTAACATGCATATTTCTTTATCTATCCATATCACCCAGATGCTTGCAAGATATAGATCCATAAAGCTTAATCCTTTAATCTTTATCAACTGACTCATTAGGCAGTTGCATATATACATTTTTGAGGGCACTTTAGCAGTGTCTTAAAAAATCCAAAAATTTTCTGAACTTAATGTTGACTGCATTACATTTATTGTTTCAGTGCTGGGAGGTGCTTAGAAATGGGCATATTTTAAGAGAAAGATGCAATAGATACACAGTATCTCTTAAGGTTTCATACCTAGTTTAAGAAAACCTGTATATAAATATGAATTAAAAAGCTAAAGATAGTTATCCATATCACATGAGATTGTGTGCAAAAGATTTTTCTAGGATACTCTAAAAAAAGAGAGGGTGTTTATATGGGTGTGGTTTTTTTTTTTTGTGTTTATACATGTTTTTTTTTTTAAAGAAATTCTGAAAAAGAAACAGAAAGAAGAATCAAAGAAAGACTGTGCTTTAAGGCATTATCATGAGAAAAATAAATCAGAGGAAATCTCTTTAAATATTGGTTGGTGAGAAAATAATATTCAATTTCAAGAATCCTTATATGAATGTCATTTGTCAAGGTTACATAAATTTTACACAACCAGGTATAAGTATAATTGAGAAGTTATCAGATTAGGAAATATGATAGTCATGGGCCTAAAAAAAAATAAAACTCACTATCTAGCATTTTAAATTATCATTTGGTAAAAGGACCACCTTCATTTTAATAGATCACAAAAATCAATATGACACATTCAAAAACACTAAAGCAGGAAATTTCACTAAGATGAATATTTTACATTATATCTTTGACACAAAGGAAGAAAAAAATTCTAAATGACTAACCCTTGCCAAGTAGGCCTCCAAGCTGCTTTCTGAAGACATGGTACTTCTAGTAGAATATCCTAAATTTCCTCTGGAAATAAGACTTCTCCTGAGGAACATACTGGTACTAATATCTGCAACATGTGGTAGCTCCAGAACTGGACTTGTAGTAAAACTGGTGATTAAAATTTCATTCTTCTGTTTTTCTTTCTGGAGTTGATGACTCACCTCAGTTAGCCTCTCATTATTTCTGTGAACATTTCAAATCACATAAATGGTTAAATAAATATTTTTAAACTAATTTTTCTTAAATGGTTGTTTTTTTTTTATTAATGCTATCATAATTTTGATTTTTTTCCCTGAGTAGTTTCTTAATTCTGAAAACCATTAAAAATACTGGTTATAAAAGTTTTTGTATAATTGAGTTTCTTCTAGTACAATCCTTTCCCAATAAAAAGTATAAAGAAATTGAGCAAAGTAAAAGGTTGTCAGACTATCCTGGGAAAATTTAAAATAAAATAAATCAAACCACAGAAGATACTTGCAAATCTGGGGTTCCTTACTAAACTGATCTTTAAAGAAGCCATTAAGCACTTATATTCTATAAAATTATATTGGAAATTAGTAAAGTTGTTTTAAGGGTATCATATCTGGGTGATTATTCTAGGCAGTGCTTTTTCAGTCTTTCCACCTGGACCCAGGTAGCAGCCAAATGCTCAGGGATGAAGTCACTAGAGGGAAAAGGGGATCACTCAGTTGAGGCTAAACAAAAGTCCTGAGACTCTCAACTGTATAACCAGCCCATAATACCTACCCATCAATGTCTCCATTGTCATATATAGCAAGGAAGATTGCCCCATCTCTTTTTCTTAAACAGATAGTCTCTTTTGGCTATCCAAGACTCTAATTTAAACCCTTCTGTAACATTTCCTTTCTTTCTTTTCCCCTCCAATAGCTCCCTCAATGAGCTTTCACCTCTAAAGAAAACTGAAGACTTGGGATAGCAGTGAATTAAGGGGAATGGTTTGACTTGCTGAGGGTCACCAGGATGGCCCTGAGTCCTTCAGTCCTGGTTGGCACCATTAGGAGAAAATTATTTATAATGTGTTGTATATTGCTATGATCCTGTTATACATTTTCAGAAACACTTAAAACCTTTTAATACTGTCATTTGATGAAATGAGAATAATGTTATTCTAATTTTCAAAATATTTAACTTCATCCTGGAAGAATTAATCTGCAGCAGATAGTAAAAAGAAATAATATGGCATACAAGTAAGACACTTAAAAATAAATAATTTTCATAGCATCACAGATTGAGGACTGAAAGGGAAGCCACCTAATCAAACATCCTCATTTTGAAGAGGAGGAAACTGAAGTTCTGGTAAATTAAGTGACTTGCTCAAGGTCATACAGTAGTAAGCATCAGAGGCAAGATTTGAAGCCAGGTCCTCTGCTTCTACCCAGAGTACCATCTTTCCAATGTACCACACTGAATTCTTTTGTACCTAGTTAACATTTTTTAAAAAAAAATTCATTTACCAATATGTATAAAAGTATAATTTCTACAGTTAACCCCCATTTCCCAATGAAGTCATACAGCAGTCCATTAAGGATTTGTTAAATTCAAAATGGAAAACTTTAAAAGCAATCTGGTAAGTTTAAGTACTATTTTCTTAGTGTCCCTGTTTGGGCTTACCTGGCTAATTTGTCTGACAAGGATTTTCTGATTTTTAATTCTTCAGAATAAAGCTGTCTGTATCTCTGTAGCTCTGCCTCAGCAGACTCTTCACTTGAGTTTTTCATTTTGGAGATTTCAGTTTCCAGATCTCTAATTTGTTGTTCCATTTGGTTTCTTAGGGAAGCATTGTTATTTTCTCTTAATTGTTCTAAGTTCTCTTGGGATGCTGCTTGTATCTAAACCAAATGGAACACAAAGAATGAGAAATAAACAAAAGAAAATGTCCAACTCTATTCTGAAAATTATAGGATGTTTATTACCATATTCTGTTAGATTTCATTTTAATTTCGGTCAGTGATCCAGAAAGCAATTCTGAATTTTTAAAAATAGATTCCAACTTGGAAAGTACTCATTATCAACGTCAGCTGAATTAAATTTGAACTTAAAAACAACAACACCAAAACAACCCTATTTCTATTGGATGTTAGTTCACTACTTCTTATCCTTGCCTAATATTAGGATCATTACAAAAATAATAGGTATAATTCTAAAAAGCAATTTTTTACTACAGAATCTTCAAGAATGTTTTCTTACAATTTAAAGTATTGGTTGAATTAAAGAAAAAAACCTTGCCCTTCAATTTGTTCTAATTATGCCATTTTTTAAAAACTCAATTGATATGGATAGAGAACTGGCCCTGAAGTTAGGGGGACATGAGTTCAAATTCGACCACAGACACTTGACATTTACTAGCTTTGTGACTCTGGGCAAGTCACTCAACCCCAACTGCCTAGCAAACGAACAAGCAAACAAAAAAATCCAATCCCAAGGGTCCCCCCCCCCAAAAAAGCCACCTCAATTGATAGTATGCATAGTTACTTTCACTAATGATTTCAAATGCTGTAAGAAGCAGAAGGAGAAAATTTTTACACACACACACACATATATATATATATATATATATATATATATTCTGCAATTAGAATAGGGAAAAAATCCCAAACCTTCATTTACACAGGAATATTTTAAAAGCATAGTAGTGATAAAGTAACTTGTAAGAATAGGTTGACTTTTTAAGTTTTTCAACAATCACCTTCCTTGCTCTTTCTTCAGTCTCATGTTTGTATCGTGCTATTTGACTGCATTCTTGCTTAGTAATTTCCAAAGGATCCCTAAGATTAACTACTTCTTCTTCCAGCTTGGCACAATTCCTTTGTAAGCTTTTCATAGAAAATAACTCTTCTTGAAGACTCCAATTAGTTGATTCCAACTGTTTACATTTTGAAGATGCTGCTTTCAATTGCTGTGAAAGGTCTTCAATCTGTTTGTATAAAGTATCAGTTTAGGAAGTTGCACAAGTAAAATTAAGGTCTTTCCATTTAAATACTAATTTAAACCTAAAAAACTAATTTAGACCTAAATTATTTTTAATTCAGATGTAATTAAATGTATCATCACCTTATATTTATTATAGCTACAGAATGTATTTCCTAAAATGATTATTTAGGTACATTGACAAACCAAAACAAAAGTTAAGACTGAAAAGAGAAGCCGTGAAATGATATTATTAGCTCTCACAGTCTGTGTCATCCACATTTAGTACTTGATCTCACATTGTCTTCTGTGTTCTCTAATTTCTCCATGTGTCTTTTCTGTCCAGCTTTTAGTACAGTGAGTCACAGTAGACCAGCAAATTCTTCTTAAGTTGTGTTAGGCCTAAGTCAACAATAGATCTTAAAAGGAATTTGGAAAGAAATGAGATTCCTTTTTATTATCGTAATGAGAACACTGGTTCTATGATAGACTTTACTGAGAAAGCAAATAAATTTATGCTAATTTGAATGTCACATGGTGAAATGCTCACTTTCAGAGCCAGAGAAAATCATGTCTTTCTCATCTACAGAACTCTGGTGATAGTAGTCAGGGAATACACCACATTTACCAGAACTTCTATTGTGTAATGGCCCTCTTACTGCTCCCCAAGTGCATTAACAAAACAAGCCAATAAGCCTAGCAGGACTTCTACCTGTTTTCCTTCAGCCCCAGGAGTTAGATAACTGACTGATATACGTGATAAATAACAAAGTGTGACGTCACCGAGTTCCAAAGGGTTAAAACTCAATAAATGTTAAGAAGTTAATTCTTTTAGATAAATATTGATGAGAAAGGCAAGACAACAGACATCATTAATAATAGTAAGTTGTTTCTAAGGAGTCACTTGACATTATAGAAAAAAATAGTACTACTACTAGTTACATCTACTAGTTAGCATCATAGCATGTTATCTCTCTTGAACACTTATGATGTTTTTCAAAACCTCTTTATGACTTTCTCCCAAACTGTAGTGGCCTACGGTGTTAAGAGTTGGGGAAATGTCTCAATATCATTAAGTACTAGAAACTTTTAAACAAAAAAGTAGTATCTTCAAACGAATTAGTCAATTTATTATTCTTCCAGCAGGGGGGGAAATCTTTGCTTCCCTAAAATAGAAAAGCAATGTATAGGGTATAATGCATTAGCATAGTTTTCACCCACTTACTGCTGGAATGAAATGAACATCTTTTAAGTACCAGAGTCCTTCCCTCTGTGAAACCAAAAGTCCTGTTTTTACAGAGAATGTCCTTAACTTTTAACTCTGTGTTGTATTATGAAGTCCCTTAGCGGTGACCTCAAAGATATAAACAGGCAGTTTTTAGATGAAGAAACTAATCTATCTATAATCATATGAAAAAAAATGTTCTGAATCACTATGGATTAGAGAAATGCAAATTAAAACAACTCTTGAAGTACTACATCACATCTATCAGGTTGGCTAACATGACAAAACAGAAACATTATAAATGTTAGAGAAGTTGTGGGAAAATTGGAACACTAATGCGTTGTTGGTAGAGTTGTGAACTGATCCAACCATTCTGGAGAGCAATTTGGAACTATGCCTAAAGGGCTATAAAACTGTGCATACCCCTTGACAATCATAAAATGGAAAAAGAACCCACATGCGCAAAAATATTGAGAGCACCTCTTTTTGTGGTGGCCAAGAATTAGAAACTGAGGTAATGCCCATCAATTGGGAAATGGCTGAACAAGTTGTGGTATATGAATGTAATGGAATATTATTGTGCTAAAGAAATAATGAGCAGGCAGACTTCAGAAAAACCTGGAAAAACTTATATGAACTGATGCTGAGTGAAGTGAGCAGAACCAGGAAAATATTGCACACAGTAACAGACACATTGTGTGGTGACTAACTATCACAGACTTGGCTCTTCTCAGGAAATCTAAGACAACTCCAAAAGACTCATGATGGAAAATGCTATCCACATCCAGAGAAAGAACTATGGAGTCTGAATGCAAAGTGAAGCATTCTATTTGCTCTCTTTTGTTGTTGTTTTGTTTAGTTTCTTCTTTCTCCAGGTTCCTCTCATTGTTCCAAATTCTTTTTTACAACATGAGTAATGTGAAAATATGTTTAATATGAAAGCATATGTAGAGCCTATATAAAATTGCATGACATCTTGGGGAGGAGACAGAAGAGAGAGAAGCACAACGTTTAAAACTCAAAAGCTTGTGGAAGTGAATGTTGGAAACTAAAAATTAAATAAAATGTGAAAAAAAAATTAGCAGTGATCACCTTGCAATCAGACTATTGCTTTATTTGTTCTTGGTCCTTTTAAAATCTCTTAAAGAACAACTGCTTTTCAAATTATTTCTGCCTATTAGTCCTCCTTTTGGGGGGATATTTATTTTTTCATCTTTAGAATTACAGAAGCAGAATGTCAGAGGGAGCTTAGAGGTTCTAAGCGGCCCTGCAAATATTGACTCCTAAAAGGCTTTCCAGCATTTGGTTTTTCAAACCACCCATTTGCCTTTGAGATCACTCTAATTGCTACAAAGTTTTTCTTTACATCAAACCTAAATTTGTGTCTTTGCAACTTCTATTCACAAGCAAAACAAGTCTAATATTTCTCTTACCTAACAATGTTTTGAAATACTTGAGAAGTGCTTTTAACAGAATATATTTAGATATAGTCAATTTGATATGAATTGCGTAATGGGAGTAGAGGAAAAATTCCTAATATACAAATCTATATAGAAATTCACTGGAGCCCAGAATTTTCAAGGAGATATAAAGTCCCCAAGGTTGTCCACTGAGACCCTGAGAACAGCAAAAATTGTGTGACTAGGCCTTAGACAGAAAGTGTTGCCTTCCAAGCAAGGGGAAGATGTAAACCTTCCCATGGTACTGGTGTCCAATGCCTACCTACATATATGACCATTTCAAAAGGAATATAAAGATAAGACATTTTACATTTTCCAATATTAAGGATTACCTTATTTTTTAACCTATTAGTCTATCCTTTTCAGAAGGTGTTTGCATGCATCCCCCCTCGTAAACAACATCTCCTTTTTCATATTCTCTTAATTTCTTTTGTGTTGTTTTCAATAGTTTTTTAAATCTGTGAGAATGAACAGAATATTCAGGTCAAACTCTTTATAGATTAAATATCATGCACTTAACAAGTACTCTTTTTGACCCATTGCCTTAACTTATTTTCAGTTGTAGAGAAGAAAATAAGTCCAAAACAATTTCTTGAGGTCACTCAACTCAAATCAGACATTATTTTGTTAAAATAAAACCAAAGTAACGCTAGCCTCACTAATCATTTCATCTCTGTTTCAAAAGATGTATATTCATCACAGGCTCTGCATTAGTATCACTTCATTGTAGAATATTTCCCAAAAGATTTCTGGTTACACAGTAATATTTGTAGAAAGGGGGATACCTTCCAGTAATATAACCCCAAAGTTAAATGATGAGTAAATTTATTTTGAAAAGTTTTATGGTGCCTTTGTTATTTTAACTGTAGATCTGTGTAAATTAGCTGATCAAATATTCAAATGCCCTTAGCCCACAAAACAAAAATGATGAGTCTCTGACTGAATTTTCTTTGGAGCATTCTTAAGCACTTAGCACATTCTTATTTGCATACATTATTTGCGTCCTTCCATTACCTCTCTTATTGGAATGTAATCACCTTCAAAGCAGGGACTGTACATTATTCATTTCTATAGCTCTGGAGCCTAGCACAGTATTTCATATACAACTGATGTTTGTTAATACTTTTTGAATGAATGATAAAGGAATAAAGAAGTGAATAATGAAGGAAATAAATTAGGATAGAAAACATAGAGACCTATCTTATAGAAACATTTATATGCAGAAATAGTATACTTAACCAGAGACTGTCAAAGGATGTATAGTATAATTCTGGAAAACATACTTTAAGGTACAGGTGCTACACAGCATTTTACTATAACTTCAAAGATGCAGGTCAGAAGGTTTGATTTTCAGTAATCATTTCATGAATAAAATGAAAATGAAAAAACTCTTTGCTCACTTAGAATTATACATGCTGTGTTTATCCAAGTGTTAATGTATAAAATGAATTTGTTGTTAGAGTATAACAAAATAGTTAGGTCCTTGTTTATTTAATGTGTGGTTGAAACAGCCTGCAACAAAAAAGATCTTACCCACTGAGGTCTTCCTGCAATTCATGATTTCTCTTCATTTCTTGTTCTAGACAATTTTCCAGAAACTTCAGAAACTCAATGAGTTTCTTAAATTTTTCCTTTTCAGTATTAACCTTTGAAAACATTTTTATGAAGAGAAATGTTACAAGAACAGAACTGGCATTTTTAAACAGGATACTTTTCATTAATTCCAGATCCAACTCTACATATCAGTTTAAGCATAGTTTATGAAATCAGAACAAATATGGAAAAATTGATCTTATTTAAAAAAGACATAGCTTCCCTCTGATTTCCCTACAAAGTATTTCTTTTTTGAAATTTGGATCAATGAAAGTTATTTGATTTCAATATAGGTATTAGTTATACTAATAATGTGAATAATTTGAAATGCATAGGATTGCATAGAATGTAGGCTGTTTGCCAATACACATTGGAGGAGCACTGGCCTTCTTCTCCCTTTCTCTAGAGGCAGTGGAAATGGTCTCCTCATCCCCATTACCCTGTGTTGGCACATCTGGCCCATGTTCCAAGCATTCCTATGATGAAATATGTGTGTGTGTGTGTGTGTGTGTGTGTGTGTGTGTGTGTTGCACGCGTTCTTACTGTTAGGCTATAAAACTGTTCTCTAAATCTCTTTGTATTTGGCTAAGTGAGATGCAACCTATATAAATTCATATTTTGTTATTCTTGAGTGCTACCCCGACTGCTCTAGATTACGAGCCAGATAAATGATCTGTCCCTTTGTCAACTTCCTATCAAGGTTTTCAACCTCTCCCTTCTCCAGAGGTCTTCCATATCTTACAAAGGAAGAAAGAGCCCTCCTCATTTTGCTAAATTCTGCTGCCTCTTCTGGATTCACTCCTCTTTCTCCTCTTCGCTTCCAAACTTCTCCAATGAATGACTATCTCACAGCTGCCATTTCTTCATTTCATTCGTATGTTTACTTATGATTGTTTGCTTATTTATTTGTTTTGTATCTGTGATTTAATTGGTATAGGGAACAGACAGGCCCCGTGCCCAGTCTGCAATTTAGAATCTGCAGCTCTCAGAGCCTTAGGGAATGGCTTAGGTCACCAAGAGTTTACAAGGTTGCCTGGGACAACAAAGCCATCTATGTCAGAGTTGGGATTTGAACCCATGTTTTCCTGATTCTGAGGCTAGCTCTCTATGCAAATAACAGAGTGCTTTTCCTTTTTTCCATGGAATCTGGATTACTTCCATAGTAGTCTACTGAAACTGCATTGGCAATAGGCAGAAGTTCTATCTGTACCCAAAAACCTTTCTTAGTCTCTGACTTCACTGTAACATAGGATTCTGTTCCTCTTATCTAATTTGTCATTTATTATGCTTGTAAATTATTCCTTCACAGTGTTTCTCTTTCTTGTTTTATCTCATAGCTACTTCTACTTTTCAATGCTGTTTTGGGGATTAAATGAGATAATGTATGTAAAGAGCTTTCTAACCATAAAGTATGATAGAAATGATGTAGTCATTATTTTTACTTAGAAAAACATTTCATTCCTTATGTAAGGCTAGATAAAGGAAAATGTCAACCATCTAAAGGGTGAATACAATTATCCCAATTGAAGAGTACAAATGGTGGAGGTTATAGGTTTTGTTCTAAATCAGTTTAAATGACATGCACAGTGTTCAGGAAATATATAATATCGGTAAAAAATAAATGTTACACTGAAAACACTTTCCATTAATTAGTGACAAGTTACTGATTTTTTGCATACATACTTTACTTTTGGTCTGATCTGTTTCGTTGTGTAGTTTTTTCATATCTTCTAAATTATTTTGAAAAAGTGATGTAACCTGTAGTGAAGCTTCTGACATGGATTGGCTTGTTTGAATCAGCAAGTTCTTGTTGAAGCTTTTTTACTGTATCCTGATAGAAATATGTCCCAATTATTTCTATTCTGATTTCATGAATCAATATTAGGTCATATAAAATAAATATACTTTCATGACATTCAACTTAATTTCATGAATGTATTCATAATTATCATAGATTTAGAACTAGAAAAAGTCTTAGGGACTATTTAATTAAACCTCATTTTGCAGATGAGGAAACTAAGCCCCAAAGAGTTACTCAAGTTCATAAACTTAGTAATTAATAGAGAAAAGAGTTGAACTTAGTTCCTGAGACTACAACACTCTTGACTACAGCATTCCCCCTCCATTCAGCATGGGTCATGCTATCTTCTTACATGGTCAGTCTGTTTTCCCTACTCCTTCTTTTTGAAACTTATAATATCTCCAAAGCCACATAGGGGATTTTTTTTTATGTGCAACATGGATCATGGTGGAATGGTGGAGGAAGAATATATAGCTTCCTATACTTGATAGAAACATTAGGGTTTTTTCCCTTCCATTTTGCAGAAAAGTTAACTACCTTATTTCTTTGCACTGGCCCTTATAAGAATAAAGACATCTATAAGAAAAAGTTGCATTTTCCTTCCTCTCATATTTCCCCTGAAGAATGAACATGTGCCCTGATATGCTTGTCAGGCTTCATTAAAGGATGTGAAGTGACTGACTTAATTTGCTGAAAGCAAGAAAAAAAAAAGTGGGGTAGGGTGGGGTGGGGGAATTGCTAGCTACTATTCACATCTTCAGCTGTCTCTGCCAAGTCTTCAAAGCATTTTCTTTTTCTGTTAGGATAGGAATCATACTCCTGGTTGCAATCAATGACCAAAAAAAGGGGAAACTATAGAAAATTTTGTAGTTCTCTCACTTAACATATAGACAGCATGGTGCAAGGTCACAGCTAAAGGAAACCCATTTTATTTCATTTCATTCTCTAACCTAGGAAGAATATCTCCATACATATATACATGCACAAACATTCATGCATATGTACATATATACACATATACACACTTGTATATGTATTTACAGATATGCTATAAAACATCCAGTTCATTTTCACTAAAGAGCAAAGTAAATTATTGTATATATTACTAATAGCTAATGAAGCTAAAAAGCAAAAGAAATTAAAAATTTTCCATCTGATTAGATAAGAGTAAGTACGCTGTAAAAATAAATTCAACTAAAGTCTAGTAAAACTTTTTAAAGGAAACCTAAGCTAAAAGAAGCCAATATAAAATTGTAAAAAGGAAAAATTGGCATAATTAATTGAATTCCTACAAATAAACTAAAATATAGTATGAAATTACTAGATTTAAGCACATGATCATATACATGAAAAATAAAATTTGAAAACATTGTGTATACGAAATTGTTACACAGTACAATACTTTGTAGTCCTGCTACCTACTGCATATATGAAAAATAGATAGTGAGGATTGTTATCAGACTGTTAAAAGCTATCTGTCTTCAACAAATGAAAGGTAGTGATCCCAGAAACTGCAATTTTGGACATTAAGCAAGAGGTGTTAGTAAAACAGTGAAAAAATATTGAGATAAATTAAAAAAAATATGTAGTGAGAAAACAAAAACACCTTTCTTTAAAAAAAAATGGCCTCATTATCACATGCAAAAAAAAATGAATGCTTGATGCACAATCATAATCTTTTTGAACAGAATTGCCGTCCTGAATTTTAAAGGAGAGTAGTTGCTAGTCTTTGGAATTTCATTATAATATGATTCAGTGTTTGATATTTCTAAAATTTGTTCAAAGTAGTTTGAATTAAAATTAGTTAGTCAGATTGATAAACTGTTTAAATGACTATGAAAAGGATAACTATAATATCCCACAGTATCTCAATTCAGGTTTGAATTGTTATATTATCACTAGCATAGTTTTCATGATTTATCTGAAGTTTTAGCATTTCAAATAATTTATTCTATTGAACATTAAATGGAATATTATTAGAATTACAAATTTATCAGTATTTATTGAGAAGTGACTAACTCCATCTACCTTTATTAAACCAACTCTCTGCCTTTAAAATTTCATGGGCTACATAATCTTTTTAAGCAAAGTGAGTCATCTTATCTAAAAGATGGATAACAGGTTGATTTTTATCATGTTATTGCTTCCTCATTCTCCTTTCTTACATGTCAGAATTTTTACAATCAAAGTTAATAACATCATCTGCCTGCAAAATTCAAATTTCTAATTTACCTTGATCAAATTTCTTTGAATTTCATTTCAAAAAGTTAATGCTTATCAAATTATATTATTTGAAGACCTACCTCTCTTTCTGCTTTCTCATTTTCATATTTACACATTTGTTCTCTTAAGTGGTTACATTCACTGATTAACTCTTTATTTTATTTCTGCCTTCTACCAGAAGAACTTGCTTTTCCGTATCAGCACGAACTTTATTGAAGAGATCAATAAAATGTACCTGGGCATCATTCAATACCTTTTCTTTAAGAACTTCTTTGTTTTGGGCATCTTCAAGCTGTTGCCGAAGCAACATATTTTCACTCTGGATTTGGGCTAATCTTTCTTGGATACATTCTTCTTTGATGACATATGTGTTCAGTTTTTTCATTTTCATTTGATTTGTCTCTTCCAGTTCCTTTGCTTTATATTGGGCCTGGTTTAATTCTGTCTGTGTGCTTTCTGAAATTAGTGGCTTTTCTCTGACAGAATCATGTACATGGTGTAGTTCATTTTCTAAACTACTGGCTTTACTTTCAGCTTTAGAGAGCTCTTGAGAAAGGACACCATTCCTCTCTCTTAGACTAGACAAGTCATGACTTAGTTTGTCCTGTAAACAAAACCACTTATTGCGTTCTTGCTGAAAGCTATGTTCAAGGCCCAGTTTTGATATCTGACTTTGTTCATGATCACAAATAGCAGAAGTCAGACAGGAACGGTATGATTCAATTTCTGTCTCTAGTGTCTCTGTTTTGTTTTTCATTCTTGAATTTAGAGCTCAGGATTTCATTCTCAGTTGTCAGAACATTTACTTGTCCACTGTACTGGGATATTGTTTTTGTTAATGCTTCTTTATTCAGTTTTAATTCCTTTTGAAGCTCATCATTCTTTTCTTTCAAAACTTTATTTTCTTCTGTATATTTATTTTCTTTCTCCTAATTCTTAATTTTCACTCTGTCTAACTCTAGTTTAAACATGGCAGCTTCATCCTGTAGGGTTTGATTTTTATGGAGCAGATATTTTTCTTTTTCATTGCTATCAGGAACCTAAACATGATGAACAGGAAAAAAATTGCTACTCAAAATAAAATTATGCATTATTTTTCTTAGTAATAAAACTAAACCCAAGGGTCCAAAGAAGCATAATGTACTTCAAAGAAACATAAATTGAGTGGGTTTCACCTATTTCAAATTTCTGTCAGACTCAGTTTTCTGAAAGAACATATCTTAAAAGTGCTACATCAATCAGAAGATATGTACTTCAGCTATTCAGACCTCAAAACAGATAAGCATTTCACTATATGATACAGACTACATTTTACAAACCCTGTATTTTTAGACCCCTAAATCTGTCTGCCTTTCAGCATATTTTATTTCCTTTGCGATATCCATTTGATCCCACACTGTCTGTGCATGGTGTTATGATAAAAATAACAACACCTGATATCTACAGAGGCCTTTAAAGTACTTTGCAAAGTACTTTCAAGACATTATCTGACATAAGGCTTGCAAAACCTTTATGAGGGAAATACTCCTCATATTCTTGCCATTTTACAGATTAGGACTCAGGTTAGATGAAGTTATTAAATAACCTGTTCATTGTCACACCTAGCAAGTGTCAGAAGCAGTATCTGAATCCAGGTCTTTTCAGGCTCCAAATCTAGCATTCTTTTCCAATAGTTAATTCCCTCCTAGGTGTTGAAGAGGAGCAATTGTCCTACAATTAGAGTCATTGTCTTGATACAGCTATCTTAGCTGCAAACCAAGGAAGTGGTAACAGTCATAGAATTTCTTAATGTACATCTTGAGAACAATTTGTTCTCCAATACATCTGTGGCATTTTCAGAGCATGACTGATTTAGAACTTTTAGAGGTTATCTAGTCCAAACTTCTCATTTTAGGGATGGGAAAAGTGAGGCCCAGAGTAGAGTCAGTAGATGATAATCTAACCCTAAACTTGAAAGCTGAAAGGAATAATGAAAGCAGTATTGATGCCAAAGTATAAAAAGTTGATTTGGCATTCCCATCAGAGTAAAACTGGTCCAGGAGCATGTGTTCCCGTTGAGGGCTGGTGGAAACAGGTGTATCAAAAAGCTCAGGATCCTCATTCTATGAGATCCCTTCCCTAAAGACAGAAGAAAGGTATGAATAGGCAGCAATTGAGTTAAATGAAGCAGTCCAATGCCCAGGAACCAAAAGATTACTAAGGGCCAACAACCTGAATGATTTACTTCAAACCACAGCTGGAAAAAAGAAAGAAAGAAAGAAAGAAGAAGAAAGAAAGAAAGAAAGAAAGAAAGAAAGAAAGAAAGAAAGAAAGAAAGAAAAGAAAGAAGAAAGAAAGAAAGAAAGAAAGAAAGAAGAAAGAAAAAAGAAGAAAAAAGAAAGAAAGAAAGAAGAAAATAATCCTAAATTTGGCATATGATGAACTTTTGTTTTACTATCATGCTGGGCAATGATGAATGTGAATGAATGAATCCTTGTCATGTATAGAGCTTTCTTTTAGAAATCTAAGTGAAATTTATTCTTGTTGCACATACTTTTATTCCTTCTCTGCTTACTAGCTACCATAATGCTGTGGTAGCCACAAATGAACAAAATAATACAGGCTAGGTCTTATTACGTTTTAGCACAGAAGTATTTTTACCTCCTCAGTTTTGGAAGCTATGCTTCTCTTAATGCAATGCAAAATTACATCAGATTTTTGGTTGCCAAATAATAGCATTGGCTCAGTCAAGCTTAGAGCTCACTAAGTCTCCTACATCTTTTCAGACAAAATGCTATCCAATCGTATTTCCCCCAACTTATACTTGTGACACTATTTTTTGTACCTAATTATAAAACTTTACCTTAATTCTTACTGAATTACATCTTATTAGTGGGTTCAGTCCAGTGCTCTGCCCTAAGACTTTGCCTTCCTTCCATTTAGAAAGGCTTGGATAATTTGAATTGCATAAGTAAGAGCCAAAGATACTAGAGAATAATAAACTTTTCTGAAAGACTGAAGGATGTGTGGTAAAGTGCAATGTAAAGAACAGAGAAGGACTGAACCTGAAATTTCATTAGCCTAGAGATTTTTCAGGTAAGGAAACTCCCTCTAGCAAGGTAGAGAAGTTCTCTGGAACTTATTGTCTTAGAGAGGATGAAGACAGATCAGTGATGTCAAACAAATCCCCCCAGTACTGTTTTGTGGGTAGCTCTTGGGGAGTTTGAAATCTCTTGCCTACACTCAGGTGAAATGGCTTGCCCAGAGTCATAGCATCAAGATGGGTCAGTGGCAACACATGAACCCAGGTCTTCCCCGACTTAAGGCCAGATCTATCCACTGCACCATACTGATTCTCTACTATGAGACACTTCAAAAAGTACTAGCTCCATCTTACCTTTCCCATGCCCATTTAGCCTGTAATTTTACATTCAAATGCTAAAATAAGGGATTTTTTTCTTTACTTTTCTGCATATATTTATGAGTGATTGAGCCCTACTTACTTATGCTAGCTATAAATACCATAGCCCTTCTTTAGGATTAAAAAGATTTCACATGACTGACCTCCCCACTCCAAGGGAACCCATAAATATTCTTAAGTAAGACAAGATGGAAATAGTGACTTTTAAATTCCTATTTGCTTGTTTCAAATTATTTCTTACTCTTTTCAGTTCAAGGTCCAGTTTTGGAAGAGTGAATTCCAGTTGCTATTTTAGCTCTACTTCTTTACTATATTGTTCCTGTATTCTTCTGAACTGTTCTCTTAGTTTTTCAAATGCCATTTCTGCAGTTATTTGCTTTACATCCTCTTGCTTCAGTGTAAACCTAGATTAAAATTGCTTTTAAAAAAATCATAGTTCAATAGAAATGAGGAACATAATGACATTTAATTATGTTCATCTGAACCTCTAAAGGAAACGAACATTAATTTGAGGGGAACTGGATACACGTAGGAAACTCACTATCAGGAAACTCCCTCTACTGATGCAGATTGGTCCTTGCTTTGCAATTTTAGCCTTAGATAGTTCATGGGGTTATTGAGCATTTATATCACTTGTTTCAGGCTCACACAGTCAGGATGTGTCAGAAATGAGACACGAAGCCATTTCTCTACCCAGGCTATTCCAGGGCATTAAACTTCTATCAAAAATGTATCATACAGTTTTTTGGGTGCTTTGGCTTTCTGTATTCAATGGAGAGAAATTCCATCAGTTGGATATATATGTCCACCTGCTTCCCTCCTTCCCTGCCTGCCTTTTTGGCTTTATATTTTATTGAACTGTACCAAAGAGGATCTAAAGGAAATGACTTTTTCAAAATTCCTGAGTTTTGATACATCTGAATGACTCTGATAAAAAGTTTAGAGGCAGAGGCAGAGCCAAGATAGTGGAGTAATGGCTGGGATTAGACTGAGCGCTCCTCCAAATCCCTTCAAATCCCTTTGAAAAATGACTAAACGTATTCTACAGCAGCAGAATCCACAAAGAGATAAAGTGAAAAGAATTTCCAGCCCAAGACAACTTGTAAGGTGGGCAGGAAAGGTGTGTTGCACCAGGGTGAGAGAGCAGCACACTCCTGCACAGAATGCAGCAGCACAGACCATCCCCAGGCCCAGGAATTCAGGAGCATACCTTGGGGACTGACTAAATCATCAGCAGCAGCAGTTGCCTTTAGAGCTGTCAGCCCACAGAGGGTAAGAGGGTCCAAGAACTGTTCAGAAGGAGCATAGGGGTCTTTTGGCTAACACTGAGGCAGGCCTCTGTTGCTTTGCCCATACTGGATCTGGGTCACAGTCCTGGGTGGCATTCCCAGTGGGAGGAGGAGCAGTAGCATAGCCGAGCTTGTGGCCACAGTGGAGGAGGGACCCTCTTTCAATTCCAGGGTAGAAAAGAGTTGCTGTGGCTGCTCACAGATCCCAGCACAGACCAGGAGAGTAGTAAACATCTATCCTTAGATCACACTACGTGGAAGAAATGAAAACTTACAGATCCCTAGAAATATCTCTGAAACAGACGCACAAAACCCCTGAAGCTTAGGACAGTATGACCTCCACCCTGGAAGCCGAGCCCTACTTTAACAAAGTGTTAAAAGTCAAAACATGGGCTGTGAAAATGAGCAAACAATGGGAAAAAAAACTTGGACTATCCTTACTCACTCTGGGGACAAGGAATATCAAAACATATACCCAGAAGAAGACAACAAAGTCAAAACTCCTACATCCAAAGCCTCCAAGAAAGATATTAATTGGTCTCAGTCCATGGAAGAGCTCAAAAAGGATTTTAAAAATCAAATAAGAGAAGTAGATGGAAAATTGGAAAGAGAAATGAAAGTGATGTACAAAACTATTTATAGCAGCTCTTTTTTGGGGGGGGCAAAGAAACAGAATTTGAGAGGATATCCATCAATTGAGGCATGGCTGAACAAATTGTGGAATGTGATTATGATAGAACACTATTGTGCTATAAGAAATGATGAGCAGGATGCTTTCAAAAAACCTGGAAAGACTTTAACGTACTGATGCAAAGTAAAATATGTTGTGTACAAAATAACAGCAATATTGTGAACGAAAAACAGAGGTGAAAGACTTAGCTATTTTCAGTAACACAATCATCGAAGACAGTTTTGAAGGACTTAGGGTAAAAAATGCCATCCATCCCCAGAGAAAGAACTTATGGCATCTCAATACAGATTGAAGCATACTTTTTCCCCCTTCATTTTCAGTTTTATTTTGTTTTGTTTTCTTTCACAACATGACTATTATGGATATGTTTTACACGACTACTCATAGATAAGCTATATCAAACTGCTTGCCTTCTCAATGAGGGAGGGTTAGGGAAGGAGGAAGGGAGAATTTAGAACTCAAAATTCTAAAAATGCTGTCAAAAATTATTTTTACATGTAACTGAGGAAAAACAAACATAAAATACTAAAATGTTTAGAGGAAATGTAGATAAAATTCCTGACTAAAATAAGGTGTAGGAATGATTTCTACACTTCCCTCATCCATTTTCGCATTCTAATGATTATTCAGAGTTGACTTTTACTATTTTTGAAAAAAAAAATTCCAATTGTGGAAGTTTTGAAAATTCACTAAAACGCATCTCTCATAGATGTCCAGAATAAAAGGATTAAGTAGGGCTCATTATATTATTATTTTAAAGATGTGTCATTTTTGCCTTCCTAACCCCAAATTCTCTCACACAATGTTCAACATAAGAGAAATGCTTTCAAGTCTTTATTGAAACTCATGAGTTAGATACCTGAGTCTACAGATTTCTCTCCCGTTCTGCTTTTTGATGCTCTAACAAGGATTTCATTTCTTTTGTTTCTGATAATTCTTCTAGTCCAGTGATCTTGTTTTCTAAACTCTTAACTTTTCCAGCGAGTAGTGTATAGTGTCCTTTTTAAGTTCTTGATTGCCAAAATCTAAGAACCGCATCCTGAATTTTCAAAAGGCTAATAGGATCTGTACAGAGAAAAAACACAAGTAAATAAATACGGGTATTTTAAAATCTGCAGTACAATAGCAGTTACTTAGAATCAGATTCCACATATAAATCCTAAGATACCAAATATTTTCTCAAAAGATTTACATTGAATTTGAAAATATCCTATTTCTCTGTGGGCATGTGGACAATTAAAAGAATCTCTAAGTTACATATAACTTTATAAAAAAAATTTGAAGCCTCAGAATTCTTCAAAATATAAGAAAATATATGTGAAAAGTAAACATTCTGATGTGTGCTCTGGGGAGACAAATAAGATAAAATGGATTATACATTTAATATTATATATTGCAAATATACTGAATTATTTTAGAAGTATCATAAGTACATTTTACCTAAATAGTTATATGTAAACACTGCTTCTCCCTTAGGGACTTATGATATAAATCTGTATGTAATTCATACAGCAACATCCATCCTCATTTTTTCACTGGCCAGACTTTTGGTAACTTTAACCAAAATATAACTGAGACAGAAGAAAGTGAAAAAAATCTTCCAAGCATTAAGGAAAATAGCAACCATAAACCCAGGCACTTTATTCTGCAGAGAGATACAGAGCCAAATTTAGACCTAATCCAGAATTAGAAATGTGTGTTACATCAAGTTACAGATTCAAGAGATTTGGTGGTCAGGTTTCCCTTGATAACTTTCAATTCTTCATACATCTCGGTTTAGCAGAATCGAAGCAACAAGGAGACAACAGGGTTGCTAGAGGTAGACACACTTATCGTGGTGGGTGGTGAAGCTGACAGTAAGGGAAGTCATAAGTTCAAAGATTCAAAGCAAAAGAAGAAATTGAGGCACAGGGAAGTTAAAGACTTGTAGATTCACTAGGGCAGGAGTGTATAAGGCAGAATCTGAACCTAGGTATTCATGGCTTTACGTCCAGTACATAGCCTATATGCCAGCTGACAAAAGAATTATAAAAACTAGGCAGAACAGTTGTGAGATTGTTGACATTTTTGACCATTTAGTGAAATAATTTAATATTTTGGATATTCTTTCCACGAAAGATCATGCCTGTTATCTTCATGCATTTAGTCATGTCAGTCTCTTTAATGGTTCTATTGTCAATCAAGCAAATAAAATTCATGCACCTTGTCCTAGCATTCAATATTAATAACTCACATGTAGTTAATATAGCACATATAGGCTCACAACAATCCTTTGAAGCAAAGTATTTTATAGATGAAGAAACTGAAGCTGCAATTTAAGGGATTTCTATAGACACCAAGCTAAGCCCTCTACAAGGTTTGTAACACCCTACCTGTTATATTTACTTCTTACTTCTATATCCTCCAGGAAAACTCCATTTTCAGTCATTTTCCTGCTCCTTGCTACAGTTCTCTTCTTCAAATGCTCACTTCATCACCTTATACTCACTCCCATGATTACACCTACAGATTTTCTACCCATCCTTTAAAACTCACTTCCAATGGTACTTCACAAAGAGGTTATTTGATTCTGGATAGTTAATGTTCTTTCCCACTTTGAATCTCACATAGCAATATGATGTACTCCTCAAGTATATATGTATTTAGTATTAGAGTTATCTAGGTAGGCTATGTCCCCTACTAGATTGCACACTCAATGAGGACAAGACTGTGTCTTATCTAAACTTTGTGGATAAGCACACTGTAGGTACATTAATATTTCTTTTGAATTGAAACAAATAGAAGGTCATCGTCAGTGGCTGAAAAATTCACCCTGAAGCCACCATAATCCCTTTCACCTTAGCAAGGCCTGCTAGAGATTAGGCTCCAATGTCAGAGAGTCCAAGAATCCAAAGTCAAATCTACTTAGTATGAGATAACAGAATAACTTCAGTGGTATCTTCTTGTATATACTTGCATCTTTGTTTTCTGTTTAACACTGGTATTCTGTTAGGAAATTAAGAATATTCTTA